GCCAGGGGCTGCGCTGCCGCCGCGGGGGCGGCTGGCCGTCGACGTCGTGCCGTGAGAGCGCCCAGTGTCGGTGCCTTCCAGGAGGTCGGGCATGACTACCCATGCCAAGTTGGTGGTGTCAAGTCCGTCCCAGATGGGCGCCCGGGCCTGCCATGCTCTGATGCTGACGCACCTGGCGGGTCCATGCGGCAGTAAAACTCCCAGCGTGGCCGCCTCCTCGATTGGGCCAGCCAGGGCGCCGCGGTCGGCGCCTGGGCTGAGTCGGACTCCCATGCCGTCTGCACATGGCTCTGTGTGCCACTCCAGAGGTGGGGGAGTCGTCTCGGGCCATGATGTTGTCCCCGGGGAGTGGGGCAGTGGCTTGGCCCATCGCCGTGCGGAGAATGGCGATCTGTCCGGTAGCTAGGATGCCTCGCCTGGCGGAGACGTCAGATCTTCCTCGTGGTGATCAGGGTGCCAGTCCGCGCTGACCTCCGCTGGGGCGCCCGGCGCAGGGCGGGTTGTTGGCGCAGCAGGGGCAGGCTGCAGGCTCCCAGGGTCGGTCGCGGGGCCGGCAGCGGGGCCCTGGGGGAGACGCTGGCTGGCGCCCGGGCGTCGTGGGGCGGCGTGGAAATGCGCGCCGGCGAGTGCCCGGTTGGCGCCCGTGCTGCCTGCAGCGGGATCTGGTGGTGGCGTGGGCGAACGATCGGCCCAGGCTGGGGTTCAGCTGACGGCTCCATGCTGCTGGTTTTGGTGTATTGTCGCCACTCGGGTTGGCGGGGTGCCAGCAGCGGGGGCGCCAGGGTCTGGTTGTTGTTGGCCGTGAGGAAGGTGGCGGGCCTGGCATCGCAGTGCCTCGCGGGGTCCTTTCCGCTGCGAAGGAGGCGTGCCCCCGCGTGTTGAAGTGTGGCCCGGCGACCGTTCCAGGGTGGCCTTGCCGGACTGCTGCCGTCCGGGTCCTCGGCACCGTAGTGTATCCTCGGGAACTCCAGGCAGTCGGCCTCTGACCAATGCCGCGGGAGACGTGGCGCTGGTGCGCCCTCGGCTCCGTCTGGGGTTTGCAGCTGATGCCTCTGGTAGGTCCAAGTGGCCCGTGCTGCCTGGGCGCCGTCGCCCAGCTTCAGGGCGAACTGCGCCACTTCTTCCGCGATCTGGCGCTCCATGTAACCGTCGGCAGGGGCCGAGCCGTCAGGGATGCGCGCCCTGGGCCGGGGCCAGTCCGGGGCCGGCGTGGGCGCCAGGTCTTGGAGGGCGTCTGAGAGCGCGCAGGCGGGCGCGAGCGGGGGAAGGACGTGCTCGGGATCGTTCGGTAGCTCGTGGGCGGGCCAGGTGGGGTCGCTATCCAGCAGCGGACGCTACGTGAAGGGCCCCTCGCCGAGGCTGTGGGCGAACCCGAGGGGCGCGTCGGCATTGAGCAGACGTGGCAGCTTCTGCGTTGCGTCTGCAAGGGTTGGGAGCAAACGTGCGCGAACTTAAACTGGCGCACCACCGTGGCCCAGGTCCAGCCGTCGTGATCCGTGGGCCCTCTGGAGACGATGTGGCCGTCTCCCTCCCCGCAAAAACTACGGGGTGCGACGGCAGGGGCGTCTCGGAGAGCCGTGGGTCCTTGCCTGAGGTTGTGGGTGCAGTAGCTGATTCAGTGTTGGTTAATGGCCGTGCCGTAGTTGGCGGCTGAATTGCGCTAGCCGCGCCAGGTCCAGGTCGTTCATCGCTTGGAGTTCCAGGGCGTGGTTAGCAGGTGGGGGGGAGGTCGTGGCTGCGGGCGCGCGTTGGGCGTCGGCGGGTTCCACGCCCTATAGGTGTCTCGCTCTGACGCAGCTGGTCTCTTTGTCTGGTGGATCGTGTCCCCCCGCCGCCCTCTGTTCCTTTGGCTGACTAGCTGCCCTGGGGGCGCTGCGGGCGCCGCCTGCGGGGCGGCGGGGGCATTGCGGCGGCCGTGGCTTGCGTCGGCGGCGGCCGACGGTGGCTGCCCGCTGCGATGTCCCCAGGCGTCGGCTCTCATTGGGAGGAGCTCGGGCTGGGGGCTCGTGGCGCCTGCCGCTCTGCCACCCTGCAGGGCGCCTGTCGTCTCTGGTTGAGCTGTCTTGGCGACTGCGTGGGGGCCTCGCGCGCGGAGTTGGTCCTGCGCCGTGCACGCTGCGCGAGCTGTGGTGGCTGCCAGCTGAGCTGCGCAGGCAACGAGCAGACCTTCGAGGGGAACCAGCCGAGTATCGCAAGCAATCAGTCGAACTACGAGCACGACTAGCTGAGCTACGAGGACAACAGCCAGAGCTTCGAGGGCGGGCCACCGGCTGAGCCACCGGGCAGAAAGCAGAACTACGAGGAGACCTTGCTGCGCTCTCAGGACCAGCGACAGCCACAAAGGGCCCCCGGCAGAGTTGCGAGGGCCACGAGCAGAGATTCGAGGGCCACCAGGAGAGCTACGAGGACCACCTGCCGAGCTAAGATGACCACGAGCTGAGGTACGCGAGCGCCGAGCACAGCTTCGAGGGCCACCAGCAGAGCCACCGGGGCTGCAGAAGTACGAAAACCACCCCCTGCTCCTGGAGGGCTGCGAGAAGACTTCGAGGGCCACCGACAGAGCTTCAAGAGCCACAAGCTGACATACCTATACGACCACCCTTCTGGTGATAAGGAGGGTCGGGGGGGGAACCAACGTCTCACTCGATCGGTCTCACTATCGATTTCACTATCGATCTCACTATCGGTCTCGCTCGATCGATCTCACTCGATCTACTTATTCGATCGATCTCACATTCGATCTGACTATTGATCTCACAATCGATCTCACTATCGATCTCACTATCGATCTCACAATCGATCTCACATTCGGTCTCACGATCGATCTCACGATCGATATCACAGTCGATCTCACATTCGGTCTCACGATCGATCTCACTATCGATCTCATTCGAGCGATCTCACAATCGATTTGACGATCGATCTCACAACCGATCCCACTATCGATCTCACAATCGATCTCTCTTGCTGTCTCACTATCGATCTCACTATCGATCTCACAATCGATCTCACAGTCGACGTCATGATCATCATCATCCTCACCAACATCAGCATCAACATCGATATCATCATCATCATCATCAGCATCAACGTCATCATCATCACCACCATCATCACCATCATCACCATCACCACCATCATCACCATCATCACCATCATCACCATCATCACCATTATCACCATCATCACCATCATCACCATCATCACCATCATCAGCATCGTCATCATCATCACCATCATCACCATCATCACCATCAGCATCATCATTATCATCATCATCATCGTCGTCATCATCATCACCGTCCTCATCGGTACACCGGCGGGACACTGGCGGGACACCGGATCTCACTATCGATTTCATCCGATCGAGCTCACAATCGATCTGACGATCGATCCCACAATCGATCTCACTATTCATCTCACCATCGATCTCTCATTCGGTCTCACTATCGATCTCACTATCGATCTCAGAATCGATCTCACAATCGACGTCATGATCATCATCATCAACATCATCATCAACATCATCATCATCATCATCATCAACGCCATCATCATCATCACCACCGTCATCATTACCATTATCACCATCGTCACCATCATCACCATCACCACCATCATCATAACCGTCATCACCATCATCACCATCATCACCATCATCACCATCATGACCGTCATCATCATCGTCATCGTCATCACCATCATCACCATCATCACCATCATCATCATCATCATCATCATCATCATCATCGTCGTCGTCGTCATCATCATCATCATCACCGTCATCGTCGGGACACCGACGGGACACCGACGGGACACCCGCGGGACACCGCGGTCCACCGGACGCCGGAAGGGTGGCAATTGGTCCGGCCGCGCCTCAGCCACAGCTGGACACCAGCGGGACACCGCGGGACACCGGTTGCCAGAAGGGAGTTATTTGGTCCGGCCGCGCCTCAGCCACAGGAGACTTTCTTCTCGCCCGCCCACGCAGCTTCGCCTCGCCCGCACGCACGGCACGCACGAACACGAAACCGAAACCGATTTCCTGGTAAGTAGGGGGGCTCTCCGTTCCACTTCGATCTCACCCCCTCACCTCCGACCAGTGCCGCGCGCCGCCCCGCGAGAACCACCACCAAAACTAGCTGGCCCACGAGCTTAAAATTGGGCCACCTGCTGGGCTGCGGGGGCAAAGCGCCCAGCTACGAGGGCTACTTCGGCCGCCAACTGAGTCATCAGGGCCAGCCGCCAGGCTACGAGAGCCACCGCTACAGCTACGACGAGTACAAAAAGCGCATCGCCATTGCGCACCGCTGTATGAGCTACAGGAGCTACCACACGATCTTCGTGTGTCACTTCACTATGATGGCGCGGTCGGCTATCACAATAGGCGCGACTTGCCTGCCTGAAGTCAGCAGACTACGGACCAGGTCTACCGCCGCTTATGCCAGCGCGAGTTACGGCGGCCAGGCCAACGGGAACCATTGCAGCTGGAAGACTCACCGACCATCACCGATACTGGTCAGCACTCCAGTGCAATACATGTCTGCTTCTTCAGATTGCTTGGCCAATATATTACAATTATGTTGCTGATGGCGCTGATCTTACGGAACAGCCAATCCGCCGATACTTCTGCACTGCTTCTCGAGCTCCGTGATTCGTATCGCGTGTGCCACGTTACGGGTTATATGCAAAGTCTCGACCAGCAGCACTATCACTTGAGCGGACCGGCCGCTCCCTCGTCCCCTTCTCCACCACTTCCTTTGTCAGGGTATGGTTGTTGGTTCCCCGCCTCCCCTTTCCCCCCATTCGGAATATTGGATATGAACCGCGGCGGCGTCCGTGGGCCCCGCCACCGCGTGACCGGCGCGCCCCGCGGCGTGGGGCGGTCGGGGCGGCGCAAAGGGAATTGCGGAACGCAGCCAGAGAAAGAGAGAGAGAGAGAGGGAAACAAAAAAAAGAGGGAGGAGGTCTGGGGCTCGCGCGCCCTGCGCCAAGCTAAGGCCCCGGGCTGGCGGCGGTTCAGCTGCCCTTGGGCTCGCTCCCGGAGGGAGCCAAGCCCTCTCCGCTCGGCCGTGCCCTTAGCGCAGACCCGAGGGCAGGGGGGGGGCGGGAACGGGCGCAAAGCCTGGTGCGAGGAGGAGGAGGCGGATGATGATGAGGGGGAGGAGGAGGAAAAGGAGGAGGAGGAAGAAGAAGAGGAGGAGGACGAGGAGGAGGG